CTGAATTTGGAAAATAATTCTGAAAATTTCAAAGGGTGTCTTCACTTTAAGTAGAAATAATGTTAGTGAATATATCCCTTTTTGAAAAAGTCTGAATGTTCACAATTAATAGATTTCAAAGTCGTCGTTACAAACTATTGTTTCATCACGCTGATTTTCCAAAGAAACATCGAAACGAAATTTGACAAATCAACTATGCACTGTTCTTTCATTCACAGCATCGTCCCCAACTGCTTTGTTCATATTTTCAACAGTTTTCCCATCGTTATCTCCAAATTTGAATTCACGTAAGAAAATTGCACAAACATTGATATGCAGGTTTTCAAGAAACAATGCAAGAAATAGTTATTATATCCAATTCAGAAACACTTCTTCGCAAAAAGTTACTCTAATCGACAATGAAACTGTTTAACACTAGAACTACCGCCGAATTAAATTGGATTTTCTAATTTGTCTACGGAAACCCTAACAATGCATCTATTGAAATTTCAATCGACTTATAATTCAGTGCATTCGTAAATCAGTTTCATTATTTATTTCCCAGAGAAGCATGTGTTCCTTTTCAATAATTGCAAAGAAAGAATCTGAAAATGGGTCATTTTTACCCATTCGGTAGGTCTAGTGTCAAGAGGTTCAACGGAAAACAAAGGAATAACAGCAGGGGTACAAACATATGAACGAATACGAAAAATCCGACATTTCATATTACACGACCTAATATAAACAGAAACATTACATTTAAATTGCAAATGGGAAGATTTCGTTTTAATTGAAATAAAAAGTAGCCAGGTTAAATTATCTCTGGAAGAACCTTGGAGCTAGATGGAGCCCAACGTTAGAAGAGCAAAACGAGCAGTTCACTTTAAATGCGTTAATGGTTCTCAGGAAGTGAAGCGGGACTTCAGCAAAGCAATAATATGCATATTGAAGAAATCTCACGGTATTGTGAAATTTTTTTCCACCCAATGCACTGGAAATATGGCAATGTCTGCTCCAGAAGTAGCGGGCCAAGGGTGCATTGAACAAGACGGCGATGGCCTCTTCGAAAACACTTGGACAGGGAAACGGGGGAGCAAGAGATTCTGAAGAAATCACTAACAAGAACGATCACTCGAGTGGCATATGCTGATTTTTATGAAATCTTCGAGCGATTTAGTTTTCATAACAATATTCCGTTAGGAGTATTCGAAACGCGCAAACTTGGGAGCGTTCATTATTTGTTTTGCAACCGATGACACTTTATGTTTAATATCGTTTTCTTTGTGTCTCTCTGAATTAGTTAAAATGAAATCTGTTTAGAATATTTATTTCTCTTGATATAATTTGTTAAATAATTTCATCGTAATGTATCATAGTTGTCTACTTATAAGCCTTTAGTATGTAACATCTAAATGAACGAATACCAATTTTTCCTGGAACGATAAAATAAATTTTACAATAAATTTCCGTAAACGTAAAAAAGTTCCTAAAGTTTCCCTATATTTAGAACGTCTCTAGATGGAGTCCTTCTTTAACCCTTTCGTCCCTGAATATATATTTCTTCTGAATATGAATTTTGAAAGGAAACACGGCTGCACACTAATCTACCAACACATGTACTAACAAATACTGAGCACTCCAGCTATCAACCATAAGCAAAGATCCCTATGTGATACAATTTTCCTTTATCTAGGCGTTTCCTAGCTTCCCAATAATTTAATTTAATAATAAAATAATTATTACAATAATAAAATAATTTATACTTTCAGAATAAAATTACTATATTTTTTTATTTATAATACTAAGAATATAGAACGGTATAGATGGCATTTATGTCAACGTGTTAAAATGTTCGTGATACCTGTGTGAAGCATTCGAGACGAAAATGGCTCACAGTAGATAGTGTTAATAAAAATTCAAGTATCGAATCACTTCTACACTCGAGTATGAACGTGGCTTCACGTTAACGTTCTAATCTTTTGTTCCTCGCGTTAAGTTCCATTCATCTTATCAGCTGTCCCGTGCGTCGCGTTTAAGATCGTTATAAATTTTTTGTGATCCCGTAAAAGCTACGTTCCCCGATGCTTCACTTAGTTCCTCTGTCACGAAACCCGGCAATTAAATATAGCCGGCAGAAGTAGTGCACGATATTCAACACGGCCACGTGACTTTCAGCCTGACAGGGTTATGAAGCCTGTAGGTGTACGCTCCTCGTGATCCTGTAACATTAATCGAATCGAATATTTCAAAAAGATTCCATCGCGGACACAGGATAAAGTCTTGGATATTTTGCGAATATATTCGCTTCCGAGTAACCTCTGCGACTGTTTAATAAACGGAGAACTGTTTTAACTAATCTTAGAAGGTATTACGTGTAATTAAAATTATGAGCTGTAAAATTATAAAATTATGACGTTATAGATTAAAAATATAAATTGAAGGAATAATAGGATTTAAAATGAAACGAATAGAACACGCGCACAGATTTGAATTTTCCGGAGTAATTTCTTTAGTGCCTTGAAAATTAGTTTAATCGGCAGTGGCAATGTTTTCTGATAAATGCAAGAATATGTAATACGTAAAGCCAATAGTATTAAATAAATATTTTATATATTGATAGATCAAAATAGATATTGAAATGAATAGTTTTAATTAAATATCAACCACATACCATGATAATAGCAATTGATGCGTAACTATTTGATTTCTTATCGTTTTAAAACGTCACGGAAGTATTTAAAAAGAAATATACAGATGTAAAGGTATAAATATGAAACGGTAGAGAAAAAAGTGTTCAACTATCGCGATGATATATAGAAACCATGGTGAAATGCGGGGTTTATTCAGTGTATATTCAGTTAAATCTGTTGCATGGATAATGCATTCGAAGAACAATTGGAAAAACCAATCCACAGAGTTCAACTGCAGTTATGCGATACTGCTGGAACTTTTTTCACCGTTTCATTGTTAAAGTGGAGATATATGTAAAAAATGATAAAACGGGCCACCGTGAAAAACGACACCGCGTGTACGAGGGCGGTTTCAAGTTCTGAAAATACGATGATTCAATTTGCAATATCCTCTTTAATCAAATTAAACAATTTAATTGGAAAACATATGTAGGTATTTTCTCGGTATTTAACGGTGCAATATTTCTCGAATCGTATTTTATGATTTTATCAATCGTACTGCGTAGTGACAAATCTCTTGTCCTAAACGACAATGACACGTAAACATTTGGATTACTTTAATTCTCCTGTATAACATGTGGAACTCTTGAATAACAGTTGAAAGTGAAGTTGAGTGGCGTTACTGAGAACTGAGGGAAATAGAAATATTTTATTTTAAATAAATACGGTGTACAGTAATGCTGTAATTATTTCTACGAGGAACGTACTAATGGAATCGTATCATATTTGCACGGTAAATGCACTATATCTTTCATTACATCGAGAAATTTCAGCATACCTCAAATCAAACTGGCTTTAGCACCTTTTTAGCCTTTTAGGATAAAAATAACCTTCGAATAAGGTAATGACGATGAATATATTATTTCTCTGCATATTTTTAAAATTATAGGAATTAATAGTTTGTTTTTGATTTACAAAATGATGTCATTAAATTCATCAAAATTTGTTGTTTAAATGAAAATACCCCACCATCATTGTCATAAAAAATGTTGAATGTTGCGCCACACCAAAAAATATGAAATATATATATATATATATATTATATATTATATAAATATATTATATATATATTATATTATATATATATAATAATGTATATATAAATATGTTAAATATGTTAAATTCATCGGATAATATGCTATTTAAATAATTTTACTTGATACGCACATTTCATTGCCACCGTTGTGCTTTTATGACCTCTTATTATTTATACAGTATACATGCAGTGTTTTCATATTATTAAAACCGTAGACAATAACGTGAAATATTCATTATTTATATTATTCATATAAATTTATGAATTTCAATTAAATCTTGTTAACCCTTATAATTGGGTAGTTTTGGTGATTATTATAGATACATAGTATAACATGTATATTAATTCAAGGAACAAATTTTCGTTAATATAATAGCATCGTTTTGTAATGTATTAAAAAACCATTTAATTTTTATTTTATCTATTCTACTATAGTTTTAGAAATAAACAGAATAAAGTAATTTATCTGCGATAGACGAAGAACTGAGAAAACCAAGAAAGAATCAAAAAGTATTGCATGATACTTCTTTCGAGGTGCTCCACATATTTGTGAAGCTTTTGAAAAATCGGGTATTTTCTGGTTACCAAAATTTTGCCGTCATTTGCTATCTCCTCTTGACGCTGCACATTGAACAGAAACACCTGTGATTTGTAAATCTCTCATACAGGACACAGCGACAACTTGCGATCCTTTCAGTCACGAGGAATCACAAGGGATCCGAATTTTTCACCAATCACGTTCTCGCTCTTCTGGTATCCTTTTTTCACTCTCGTAGGACTGGCTTTTCGACCATTTTTTACTGTTTGGTTTGCTTGGCATTCATTCGTATTCACATGTAAACAATAAAAATGCTTCGAATGTAAAAACTATTGTTCAGTTTTAATTTTATTCGTTTAACATCAATCGTTAACGATATTTTGAAGACACTTAATATCTTGGAGACCGTTTTAAATCAGTTAGATATTTTGTGAGTTGCTAATAAGTAGTTCTATTTAGAAAAAAAGAATAGAGAAAAGAGAAACTTGATTATCATATCTTTTACAGTAATAACAAAAATTCATTTCTATTTAAAAATGTTGTCTCGTGAAATGTAACTTCAATTAAATATTTTCTTGTACTTTCAATACACATATGTTGAAGTATTTTTATATCATTAAAATAGCCTATCTGATAGCAGAGTTTAAAATATATTAAAATACTGGATTATATATTGTATTATACATTAATAACAAAAGTAATTATCGCAGTTTCAATACACATATATTGAAATATCTTTATATCATTAAAATACCTCATCTGATAGGAAAGTTTTAACAAAAATTTCCTAAAGCGAATATGCTAAAACACTAGATTCTGTATTGCATTATACATTAATTACAAAAGTAATTATCGCACTTTTAATACACATATATTGAAATATCTTTATATCATTAAAATACCTCATCTGATAGGAAAGTTTTAACAAAAATTTCCTACAGCGAATATGCTAAAATACTAGATTATGTATTGCATTATACATTAATTACAAAAGTAATTATCGCAGTTTTAATACACATATATTGAAATATCTTTACATCATTATAATATCTCATCTGATAGGAAAGTTTTAACAAAAATTACCCAATGCGAATGTGTTAAACTGCATTTCTGGTTCACGGAGAAGTGGGCTATGCAGCACCGCTTTGATGTTACGAGTGTCGAGCGTAGCTGTTCCGTGTGCACTTGAGCGAGCAATTCTTAACTGGAGTTCACACGTCTGCAACAAGGTCTTGTCACACAATCTCCTGACAAACACAAATGCGCATCTCAAAAGTATTCTGTAATTACACGGTTAACGTAAAACCTTTGCGGCAATATTAATAGCGCTTTTCTGAGTGTTTAGAATGTCGCTGTCGCATCAAGAAATGTTAACCATTGATGCTGCATGGAATCTATCGAAATTCAGATTACAAACTGTTTTTGCATGATGAAATTTTACTTGGAAGGAAGATTTGACGATAATATCCTTATGAAAACTTTGCATTATTCGTTTATTTCTGAACATTCGAGGTCTTCTTAATACGTTAAATGCATGTCAGTTATCGATGACTGAAGCATCTAAATTTGAGAACAATCGTAACATGCAAGATAATCGATGTCAAATCAAAATATTTAATAACATAACTAAATTAATAATAGTGTAATGCAAATATTGTAACGCCAAATAGTGGATAATTGTTGCTACTTTTTTTTACTAAAACGAATAACCGTACAGAAAAATGGTCAAGATTTTCGTGGCGCTTAACGTGTTAAATATAAGAACGTTTGATACCCCAAAGTACAGAGGACATTGGATAATTGCATTATCGTCCTCGATTTTTGTCGAACTCGCGGTCTCTTTTCTATTCGTAGCCCTTTTCTATATTTGAAACTTCAATTGCTTATTATAGGGGTAATTCTGATCGTAATTCTATCGTTTTAGTGTAATTTCAATCAGAAAAGCATAACAAACGCGATGGTGAAAGTTTCACGCATAAGAAGTTAGTTTTACGGTAAAGCTATCCCATGTCACCAGTCATTATTCCGTAGTTAAACATGAAAGTGAAACAATCTAAATAAGCTACAATATACTTTATTCATACACAATGAATTGAAATTAAACTTCAGACATATCTTTCATATAACTCTGAATATTTTTCTTTCGCGTCATCTATATAATCCCGTGTTTCAAACATCGAAATGGCTAATGCAACTGCAAACACGAGTTAACTCGTGACCGGACCACAACGTTTGGCCACGAAAATGCAAGTTAACCCTTTGCACTCGTGCGTCATGCTGGAGATGACAATACAAATTTGTTATAGAACTCGTACGTCACATTAGAGCTAACAACGCTAATTTATCCTAAAACACGTTTATCTCAAAATGTGATTATTGGATATCGGAAAAAACTTTGTACGAGTTATTAACCTTTAATATAGAAGTCTAAAAATGACCCTTTAATATTAAAGACTCTCGTTTTTATTAAGAAACAAATTTACTGTATTTACTTGTACTTACTTATTTAACCCTTTGCACTCGTATGCTGGATATGATAATACAGATTCGTTATAGAACATTGGAAATTATCTGAAAAACTACCACACTTTAAAATATCATTAAACTTAAATTTTATTATAATAATAACAAATACAATAAATGTAAAATCTTGAATTCCACCACTGTTAATAACTTTCATTCATTTCCAAATGAATACAAGTTTACACCCAACGACACTGAAAATAAATCGAGTGCAAAGGGTTACCTCGTGACCGGTCAACGACGTGTTAACTCGCAACGGCTTCGGCCACTCTAAGCTCGCAAACTCGTGTATTCACAGTAGCAACCCTAACAATATCGAATAAACCGAAAGAAACCCTACTAGCAAGCTCACGGTGTTTGAGTGTACGTACCAATGTTTCAGGAGAAAGCTTAGCCGAGCTGCATCACGGAAGCGCAGAGGGTGTGGGAGGTGTCGGCAGATCGCTGCTTCTCCTCCTGTCCGTTCTCCTCGTCCTCCTCGGCCGAATACAACAGGTGCTCAGATGAAGGCCTGACGACTGCCATTGCGCCCCGGAAAGGCGCGGAACGGGCATAGCGACGCACCGTCACGACGTTGGACAGTGTCGTGACACGGCACTGCAATACAATACGAACTTTTATATTATCGCTAAAGAATGAACGTAGCGAAGAGTGTGTGAGCGAACAAGAGAGAGAGAGAGCGAAAGAGAGAGCGCGAGAGAGAGAGAGAGAGAAAAAGAATGGAAAAATGAAAAGGGGGTTGAAGCGTTGCGCGAGAAAGGACTGCACGAAGGGGAGGGGTTGGCAGCGCTGATTCAACATTGTTCTTGGCCCAATTGAAAGTGACTGTTTCTGCGTCGCTGCACGCCAGTGTTTCCGTTTCACCGATGATTCTTCCTGTACCGGTCGGATTACGAAAGTACGTCAACTTTAGGCCTTTGTCCTTACAGGTATTTTCATGACGTCTCTATGTATATCGGGAGACAAACACGGTCACTTCAACGACTCGCGTGATACTTGCAGACGGTAGCTTGGAAAGTTGTGATAATCACGAGGAAAGCAATACTAATAAAAAAAATGGCTCGGGATTGGCCTAATGGGACTTTCTAACGGTTCACAAGCGAATGAATTGTTCGTAAATTGTCGAAGCTTCGGTAGTTTTAAATAATTTCTATCGTGTGCGATAAGTTATTCGAGCCTTGGACGACTAGGTTCCCTCGGAATCGTTTGATTTTAGCGTATTCACCGATTTCGTAACCGCGATCATTTGAATATTGGGGTTTGCTGGTTTGTAAGGAAATAATGGTGGCTCCGAAATTGAATATTCGTTCGAGAGGTTTTATGTAGTATCGTTGATTTTCTTAGCAAATAAAACTTGGGAGTCGACGGTTTTGAATTTTTCTGGTTAAGTCAGTGTGATTCTCCTTATCCGTAGGTTGATTACGTTTTACATATCGAGGATAAAATCAAAATTTGTCGTGCTTTATATATGTTATCCTTTTTTCGTTTCAATGTACCAAAGTCTCTGGCACAGTGAAATGCACGCTGATAGTATTAATTAGAGCGTAAGTATATCAACATTATTGGTTTGTATTCTCCTGTGCAAAAGGTGACTTCATACTTGTGCATAAATCCGATGAATTTCTGTTCAAAGTTACTTCAGCCATTTACAAATGAAATGAATATGCAAAAGAATTTTCCATTTCGTTTGAACTGTATTTATCCAAAAAGGTAAAGAAAACTTTTCTCTTGATTACTCCCTCTGTTCTAAATTATGATACACATTTGAATTTCGTTTTTCGTTCCATAATATGGTATACGAAAGATACACATTTGATTATTTTATTATGTAATTAGGAAGAAGTTTACACAGCACGTAACTATAATATCAATACGATTAACAAAACCGCAGCAAATCAGGAATCGTATAATCAGAAAGCAATCGACACTGCACGTAACAACAATATCAGTAACTAAGGATTTAAATAATACTTCTAAAGAAATTACTTAATTAATCTTTAAATATAAACTTTATTTAACGTCGTTTAGAAACATTATTTAAATGTTCAATTACTGGTATCGTTGTTACGTGCTCTATGAATTGCTGCCTGATTACACAACTCCTGATTAGCTGCAGATTTGCTGATCGTGTTGGTATTATTGTTACGTGCTATTACACAATTCCTAATTAGCTGCAGTATTGTTAATCGCGCCGTGACTCGAGTCTTTATCCTACGATTCCTTTCACAAATCTGCTTGATAGAACTACTTTATCGTTAACAATTTAATAAGAAAGAAAAAGAATGGAATGTTTACTCTGACGGTTAAAGATTGATAATAGTCACACAATATTTCGTTTACATAAAGAATAAATAAATAACGTTTAGAAGAAGAAGATGAAGATTTATAGCTTTATTTATCTACAAATTTAATTTATACGCTGTTAGCTTCCATATTGTCATCTTAACGAATGACACTTCAATTTTCTTCAATTTTCACTGCTTCAAGTAACCGTATTTCACGAAAGAGTTCAACCAGGTTAAAACCAGTTATGCAAACGTCTGGAACGTTTTTCTTTAGACTACTACGAGTCATAAAGACTTCGTTTAATCCCATTACAATGTATAATCAGAAAATTTCAGAGAAATGTACACCATAATATGGGATAGAGGGAGTATTATATATTCCGATGGTCCTTAAGGAATAAAATAAATCGCTCGGCGACCATTTTTATTTGAAATTAAATATCTATTACTGTACAACGTCAGTTTTAGAATAGAAATATTTTCTAAATGATTTCTTTTATTTTCAAAAACATTATAAATTCTTTATGATTATACTGGACAACGTTACTGTAATAAAAAAGTTTACACCTTTTCTTTTATTAATCAGAGTGATACAAATACCTATATTCCCTACAGACTTGAATTTCTTTATACATTCGAGAAAAATCACACTCGTTATGATTTGTAATTTTTCATTTAAAGCCTTGAACATTCACGATTCAATTATTCACGAAAGAGGATGTTAGTAGATATTAAATAACCAGCAATGCCTCTGAACTTGTTGATAATTTCAAAGTAGCGTTATATTAACTGCAAGTGCGGCAACTCTTAAATCGCTTATGCAAAGTCCGGTCCTTTATGCAAGAGATGTGGATTTATCGTCGCAACTTCTGAGAAATTGTCCACTTTTCATTTTAAAGCAGCGATGAATAAATAACCGTGATTCAGTTTAAAGTTGTCAGTGCGCGTCTGGTTTATACACCTACTATTCGGCATTTGGATTCTTTCATGCTGATGAGACAATTCTTCACCGGAACTATTGGATAAAGCAAGTGAGACAGAACAGAATGCAAGGCAATAAATATGGAGAATGATTCATACAGGAATGAAGGGGAACATTTTTCTATTTGTCACTATCTTCCTCGACCTTTTGCTTTTTAATATCGTGTCAGCCTCGTGACGAAGATCACGAATATTATTTTATAAATTTAGTAAACCGCCATATTTACCAAACTTTCGACTCCATTGTTATAATATTTATATATAAACGTAAAATCATTTGCTTTCAACATTTTAACAATTGATACTTATAAAGATAAATATGAAAGAAATTACATTAACTTCGAAAAAGATGAAAACATTTTGAAACCATCCAAATCGCAACTTACATTGTTTCCCTTCGTTTCATTTTCAGTTATTTCTTTCACATACACGCGAAATACCTAGAAAGTTCACGGAACTATTAACCCTTTGCACTCGACAGGTGATTTACATTATTTGATTTCATACAGTAAAATTATAAAATTTGATATTTAATATTATACCTCGTATAATGCGTCAGTTTTAGAAATATTGAAATAAAATAGGTTTATCTCATCTCAAATGAAATATCATCTTTATCTCATCAGAAAATGTTAAAATATTTCTAGCGAAAAACTTCGGAGTGCAAAAGGTTAATACAAAGGTATCTATTCCATTCTGGCTCCGTGAATAATGAAAATTGACGCAATTTTTCCGGCCGACACTGAATTTTCCAGGCGAGCGACATTATTTCATTTCTTAAGATGTCGAGCGTTATAACTTCCGACCATTATTGTTTCCAAACTAATTTAACATCCGGCGAACTTCCGTTGTAAGTTTCGGTCATTCGGAGTTGGTGCATGGACCTACCCTCTCCAATAGTTCAACGCTCGAGTTGTCACCCACGACTTTGCATTTACCGTTCACATCCTCCTTTCTTGGCTTCATCCCCTAATGGAAATACTCACCGATCAGTTGGCACGCGTAGTCCACTCAAAAATAGAAGATATCGATATCTTAGCCAACTACCGTAAAAGTGAACGCTAACTCGATACTTATACGAGGATCGATACTCGATTATCATTTGAATGAATCCCTAATAAATACTTTTATTACAAACATTTCATAACTTACCTTTTGGAGGCCACTTTTCCTCAAACAACTATCATCTCTGCAAACTATATTGTTGTATACCGCGAGAAAAAATTGACAAGATGAAATATACTAATATATAAATATATTTCACCCGTAAAATCATACGTGTAGATTTCTATTCTGACGAGTCCCCAATTGTATGAATAAATCCCGAAAGATACCCAATTTGTTTAACAGAAAACAACAGTTTATTAAATAACAGTAACAACTACACTAATACTATTTACTAATACGCTAATCAGTGGCTTGCTCTAACTCTCGCTTAACACGTTTACACCGGCACAATAATTCACGTTTTTCCCCATTTGGCGACGAAATTCTTAAAATTTTTGAAAATATTGAAATTATCAGTAAGTAAATTAATTTTTAACTATATGGCAATTTTTTCTATTCGCCAAACCAGTTTAACGAACTACGTATTCGATGATATTGAGTCATCTATGGTACACGCAGTCTCATATGATTAGACTCTCACCTTAGACTCACGCTAAACTTTCACCCCAGGCTCTAGGTTCTGAACTCTAACCTCGCCCATCACCGAACTTCCACGCACTTTCATATTTCACCCCGAATCGCTCTTCTTTTATTTTCACATGTATCCCGTATCACTTGCACTCAAACCCTTGCACTCATAGCCAAAGTTCACGCAGTCACGTACTCCCAGGAGATCACTTGATGAGAAATTCAGCTAATTAATCTCCATTTTCTCTCACTCAATTTCCTATCGATTTAATTTCCTAATTCCTGATATGTTCGATCACTAATTTATTGTTCGTCAATACGGTTACACGTTGCCAATAAAAATGATAAAACTATAACCTAGAAAGACACCTCTTACCTCTATGCTGTTCCGCTAGTCACCTCCTACTACACACACTAATCGCTGCATTCTCGCAGTCCAGTCGCTCAGTCTCACTCTTCCTTTCTCCTTTAGCCACCGAAGATTTTCCAAACGCAGTCACTCTATTTCCCAAACACACCGGCGCCATCCAGTCGCGAGACGAGCAGACCACACGCAGAAGAGTCATGCCGCATACCCTAAATACAGAGCAGATGAAGTAACTAGGTCAATAGACTGTCGGCACTAAGTTTAGAATTCAAATGCACCGGTTCCATAAAATTTGGATACTTACCTACTAAAACATGAAAGGGAAACGTCTAGAATCACCAATCCTTAAGGCTCCCACACACATTGTAACCTTCGTCATATGTCCGCATCGCTACAAGCAATGGTTTGAGTCTTTCAAGCTTCCATAATAGATGTCGCACTCAAACAAAAAGTGAAAAAGACTCCATCGCTTGTAGCGATGCCTGCATAACCACAAGTTTAGTGTGAACGGAAGCTTTTAGAGGCGAACGAATCGTTGTAACTTCGGAGTTGTCCTGTAGAAGATCTCTGAAAACAGTGAATCATTAAAGCAACACGGCGCGTAACAGATAATGTAGACTGATCATCCAACAATATCCTCTCCATCTTTTTTCTATGTTCCCTGATTCACTCGTGGCACATTGCGCAGCTGAAATGGAAACGATCTATCCCTAAATGATCGTGGAACGCCCAGTAAATTACGTTCGATGGGAAAAGGGGACATCCAGCAACTCACGCGGCAAAAATGCCATAGATATATCAAGCACAGGACGATCACGTAATATATTCTGCCGGCCTCTTCTTTGTTATAGAAATTATAGGCGCATCGATCGCTTAGAGTTGCTAAAGTTATGGGTGACACCTGCGTATAAATTGAAAAGCTTCGAAGCACATAGAAGTTGCTGGGTGTATAACCATAATTTAGAAAACATCCTCCGTAAATCGTACGCCAGCGTACGCGTTACTTCTTACATACATTCAAAAAGTTTCCGTTTCAGTCTGCCACTCGAGATACTCGCAGTATACGCTTGACTGAATGACACCGTGCCATCAGTCTCCATGAACGCGTTTCACGACTGCTGACGCGGTCTAACGCATAAATACGAGGTGTGAAGATGCTGACGGCAGAGGATGTGTGGACACCGATTTCCTGCGCTGGTAAACGACGCGACGCGACGCCCGAATCGCGTTCAAGGGCTACAGTTTATCTCGCATGTTTCGCTGAAACATTCACTGCCGCTCCGGCGATTTAAGTGTCCACCTGACGAAACTGTTGCTGCATAAAGACGTCTTTAACGATAAACGTGCTGGCAGTTTGTGTACACCCACTTCTACCGTAACCGGTGAAATCATTTATTTTAAAATGAAGGAGAATGAATTAAACGATACATTTTTGTTAATGAAATAGAACGAAGAGGAAAGACAGAAATTGAAGAACCGATAAATCGGGCAATATAAGAATTGATATAAAAATTAATGGAGATAAGGAAGTACAAGATTTTTCAATCAAATTTTAAAATTTTAAAACCGATTTCATTTGACCGATTACAGTATGTTTAGTGTTAAAAAAGAATCCGAAAATTTATCCGAGGATTGCATTAAGTTTTGTGGAAAATACATGTGAAGTGTTTGATTAGATGTAGTTAATATTTTGCAGAGAGATTCTATATGTTGAGATAAAATGGAAATAGAGTAATGAAACTGTGGTAGACACTTTATTTTCAAGTTATTAATGATTGCAGACTTTAATGAAGTACGATAATTACTTCATAGTGACGTAGTTTAATATATTCGCCAATTAAATTACATTATACGACACAGACCGTTACGTTGAAGTTACGGTGCGAAGTTCAGTACGATAGTTCTGTTAAAAATTAATATTCCAACCGTTGCTTCTATATTTAATTAACTTTTCATTATGCGTGTAACGTAGAATTTATAAATCTACGCGTTTTACTCTATTAACAACGAGCCAAATTAAATTTCAGCGCGGACATTCGCTCGAATAGAAAATTCTAGTAGATTTCTATATTCAAATCAGAAATGTAATAAAGATAAAATAAAGTTTGGCTAAATTACGTTTCGTCGAACTATCTCGAGTTTTAAAATTCTATTGTCGGTTGAATTATAATTGCAATTTCCTCTGTGAACAACCACATTTTAGTTATACACTTTAATATTAAACGAATCGTTGCGCAATATGAAACCTGCTTGTTTACTCCAATCCGCAGGGACACATTGAAATACTCTCCTCGACTCTACTCTCTAGAAAATCTTTTTCCCAATACTCACGTGTATCCCACGATACTAATTTCAAATTCTACGAGTTAAGTGCAAGCGGAACTGTTGTTAAATTTTCAATTGTTCCTAAATTACGAAGTACCAGCTACAATTTAAAGGTAAATGAAATTTTCACAGGTGCAACCAGCGACGTCCAATGATAACGTATCTCTATCGTAAATAAATCTATTTGATTTTCGTGACACTTTTCAATCTACGGTGTAACGTTTGACCTACATCTGTTTAGTTTGATGGCTATCTTTAACCCTTTCAAGCTTATTCTTATCGCAGCAATACTGTTTCCTAAAATTCTATTATTACAAATTATTCTGAAAAAAGAAACTATTTCATAGAATTCCACGAAAAGAAACGTTAAGATCTATTCTTAAGTTATGCTAGATTTTGTAGTTTTTGCAACAAATAGAAGTTATAGTTCTCAAAATTAAATCGTTATTGCTTAGCGGTAACTACTGAAACAAAATATTATACAATTTTGACACTTACTGTATCACTGTATACAATGTGTACAGTCCAAAAAAATTGTAAAAAATAAAAAGTGAAAATTCTGGCTTGAAAGGATTAACGAAACCACAGACTGTCCGGCAGGAAATATTGCAAGATAAGTGGGGTACGTTAGTTCAATAATCACACACTTTTTAAATAATGAAAAGCATATTTAAATTCTTCTCCAACGATGAAATAATCGTTAACGACGCGTAACAGCAACTAAGATTAACGACCCATTATTTACGACTAACTCTCGCGACGTTCTGACGACTCTCTAACGACGACAACCCCCAAACAGCTAGCACCCTTGTTCCTATGGGTATTTACACACTCAAACTTAACATCTATCTCGCTCATACACTGCGTGCATTCTCAGAATCACAGTCAACCGAAATTCTAAACAATTAAACTGTAACTCTACCACTCAAATTCTGTCGGATTTGTCTGGGATCTTGTTTAATTAAATCACAAATTTCAATAACACGACAAATATTGGATAGTATATTACAGAACAAATCAGCATGATGTGAGTATGTAAGTATTCGTGTATAAAACTGACTGAAGAAAAGAGAAAGCATTAATTTGATATGTATCAAAAAATGAATTCTCAATTTAATGTTGCTAATTGAGGCCATCGTATTTCAGGTCGAATAATATAATTAATTTTATTATTGTAAGATATGTTTCAATCTTTCTTTAACGTTTTCTTAATAAAAACCGGGGGTGCATTAATGAAATTAACCAATTTATATTTTTATAAATGAATCTATGAAAAGAAATATTGCGTAATCACACTATTTGAATGAATAGGTTGAATAAATAGAAGTTATAATTGTGTTGCCTGCTTAGAAATCGGTGAATGTTATATGTATGTGATAAATAATCAATAAATATTGATTGCTATTCGATATCATTTAATTAAGAGAAAGATATGACTATTGTCTTCTTCCATGACGAAATATTATTTTATTGTTAACGAATATATTGTTTAGGGAAAAGTGATAGGTAAAAGACACTGTGAATAAAGTTACTTATCGCATAAGGTAATGATCAAGAGGAACATCCACGATGAATATAAACATTTGCTAACCTATAATATCAAATGAAGTAAAAGCTAGTATAATATAATTACAAACTAAATGAATGACTTGTAAATAGAGGTAATTATTAAGTAATTATCTCTTCACTGTTTCGAAGTGACCAATTTTAATTTCATCTCCGATTAAAGAACTCCCATGAATTTCCATACATTTCCATTCGTGTTATTATGGATTTATCAAAATTTAATGTTATCGGTATCATAATGAAAATATTAAGAACACGCTATATTCCAACGATAATAACTACAACGAGCGTTGCAATTAAAACAACTTAATTTATTTAATTTACAGTTAAAATTGATTTACAATCAGTAAAAGATGTAACCATCTCGAAAAAGGAAGAAAGAAACAGCTGCAGAAAAGCATTACACGTAGGGTAACTCTTAGAGAGATGGCCCACTTTTTCAAAAAGAACTATTACATTATAAATATTACTGACATTTAACAAAAAATGAAATACATTCACGAATATAAATATGTCTGTAAAAAAAGAATAATTAAATTGGTCTCTGTACAAGTTTCATTACATCGTTCAAGGAAATTTAAAATAATTGACAATTTCAATCTCTTTTCAATCTCAACCGCAGAGCCATCTCACCCGGAATTATCCTACCACACACGGACCACACGGGCGAAGCTCGAATTATCAGTATTACCTAGTTTTATAGGAAACCATGTTGAATCAGAGCGTCAAGGAAACCGGATGTCATTGAACGCTTGAGAAGTCGATGACACCGATCGTTCGACCAAACAATATAATTTCATCGTCCAACATAACACGATAAGCGACAACAAATTAATTATTATAGAATTGTATTCGTGTGTAAATTGCATAGACATAACTAAACGATTAGCAATGAGCCAGAAAATCGTGGAGTGTGATGTGTGCCAGACTTATACTTGATTTACTTTATGGAAACGTTGCGTTTCTTGCTTGACTCATAACACCGTTTGCATGGGCAATGAATGTCAGGGGTTGAAAACGGTTATGATATCGGTTTCGGTTCTTGAAACAGTTATGGAGAACTGAAATGAAGTCATAAATGTTATTAGGTATATCGGTTTAGAATTGCCCATATCGATTTCAATTCCGGTTCGTTCGATGATTGATGCGGTATATGAACATAATACGAATTAAACGAAACAATAACACTTATAATGGCCTCCGCATGTTGAAATTTACATAGTGATTTCATTGCAAATTCGTAGATGCCTCGCTATAGCGATCTTAGTTCGTTCTTTGTTTTTCTTTTTCTTTTAAACTGTGTATTGTTACCTTAAGATCATGAATTTGTAGTTTGAAATAGTTTAATGATCCTGTAACAGGTTTTCCTCTATAACTATATAGTTTGAAGGAACTTTTAACGAAAACGAAATTATATTAGTAAAGAGTTTTTTTTCACTGAATCTTATGGAAAACTTTTAATGAATATTAGAAGTATCAAAAGCGTTTGCAACTTTTTCTTACGTGTTTAGCTTTAATAATAAAA